AATGCTTGAGGGTAAGCTTTTTTGTAATGCGAAAATTGTGTGTTTCTTGTTGGAATGCTTGCTTGTCAATAAGATACTGGAAATGTGGTTAAGGCGTAAGAGCGAGAAAGATGCTTGTTTTATCTCTTTGTGTACTCTAAGCAAAGAAACATTTTATCAAACGACAGGCCGCTGTCGTGTAAGGTTAATCCGTTGAACAAGACACGTTATCGGTTTTGTTAAAGACGTAGCAAAGTCGTATGGCCTTCAACAATGTGATACGCATGCATAATGGATTTGCTAAACCACTACTGCAAGCAATTGTCAAAGGCTAGAGGGATCGGATAGGCTAGGCTGAATGAGTAGCGGTACCTCATTAAAGTCAAGAAAGTCCTATACTAACTAACTTTGGTAAAACTCCAAAAATAGATAGTTCTTGTAAAGTTTGAAGGAAACAGATGAGTTTTGATGGTGGGAAAAGTGATAGCGATTTTGTCAAAAATGAAAAAAAGTAGTTCATTTGGAAAAAAATCAGGATCAAAATTCATCCATTTTCTCCTGTATTCATCCTCTATTTCAAAAAATGCAATGAAAAAAAATTTTCAAAGACAGTTTATTTTTCATGAAAACTACAATTTAAATATCACATGTCGCTTGAAAACGCGCGTGTTTAGCTTTCTTTTCATTTTGTTTTTTATTGATTTTTAACGACTTTTGCCGAAAAATTAATGTTTTTTAGGAAATGTTCTGAACGGTCCAATTGGTAAGCAGATGGTCGATGCACTGGTTGAAAGTGAACAGAATGTGGAAATGATCCTGAAATTCTCGGATATGTTTCTTAAGCTAAAGGATTTAACAACATCTCAGGCATTCCAGGATTTCGATACCAATCGCGATGGCTGGATATCACCCAAAGAATTCCAGCGTGCTATGGAAAGTCAAAAAATGTACACTGTGTAAGTTTTCCGATTGAATTTTCGTCGCGATTAGCAATCATTATTTTTATACCCTGATCAGATGTTGCTTCACCGTCACGTTCCTCCTTGCTGCTGATTTATCTGGCACTTTTCCATTCTTCTCAACTTTTTCATGAGTCTTATGAAATTCATGTATCCCAAAGAAGGTCGAAAGAAGCCAGGATAAAAATTGAGCGGAATTTCTTATTAAAACCTGCTAATAAGAAATACTTCAGGGAGGAAATAACATACCTGATGATGTGCACTGATGTGAATAACGATGGCAAAGTTGATTACATGGAATTCACCGAACGCTTCCATAATCCAGCAAGGGATATTGGTTTGTGATATTGTTCCTTGCAAGGTTATTCGAATGTATAGGGATTATTAAATCACTTGGGCAGACTCAAGGGAAAAGCAATACTTCAAATTGCGCGGTTTGATTCATTTTAGCGGGGGAGGGGAGGAAAGGGGATTTGCCACTGCCATAGTTTCAGTAAGTAGTTTATACTAAATAACTGTTATCCAGATGTCCATCAGGGTATTTCTTCAGCAATTTTGGAAGACTTTAGCTACAGTACTGTTGATCAAAACGCTCTTATGTAGGCCGCAAATGAGTGCCTAAATCTGCTCTGGAAGATAATGTATGGTAGTTATTCTGATTTAAGCAAGCAATGCCTTTTCTGGAAGCTGTAATTTAACTGTGCGGTAAAACAGAATTGGCTATTTGCGAGAGTCGAATATGTTATACGAGAGTTTTATTCCATGAAGCCTCATGACTTATTTGATCACCGAAGTTTTTTCTGTCAGGTTTTAATGTTGCTGTGTTGCTAACAAATCTAAAAGAGCACATCACTAATGATCCACGATTGGAGAAAATTGTCGAAAAAGCAGGAAGTCTGCTGGAGTACTTCGATCCTTATCTTGGTAGAATTGAAATTATGGGTTCCAGTAAACGAGTCGAAAAAATTTATTTCGAAATCCAAGAATCATGGCTGGAGCAATGGAGCAAGCAGCAAATTAGGTATTTCATTTATTTATCGCTATTAAAAATTACCAAAACCGGTCGGACAACGGGCGTTGGGAACTGATGTACCATAAGCAGTTTTACTAGGCCGTTTTATCTCGAGATGCGCATTTTCCGTTAATATGAATTATGTGATTTTTTTTTCCAAAATCAGACAAAAGCTCTAGTTGTTTAGGAACTCAACGAGGAGATACATTAGGT